CAGCGCGTTGCGTTAGCGCTTTGTCTTGGTAAACCTGCAGATGTCTACCTAATCGATGAACCTTCAGCGTATTTGGACTCTGAGCAACGTCTGATGGCTGCCAGAGTCATTAAACGGTAACGTATACGTTGTGGGAAAGTGACTGAAAGTTTCCGTAGTTTTATCAGTAAGTTTACATTCAGCACTCTCTCTTTGTTTAATTTTCAGTTTTATTCTCCATGCTAAAAAAACAGCTTTTGTGGTAGAACACGATTTTATCATGGCTACGTATCTTGCTGATCGTGTGATTGTTTTTGATGGTATTCCTTCCAAGAACACACTTGCAAACAGGTAAGAGACTCGTTGGGATGAGTAAGCAGGATTGAGGGGGGCAACACATAGAAATAGTTTAGCAGAAGCCTCAACAAAAACAAGGAGGGGAAGCATCCCTGCGTGTGGAAATTCAAGCTGCGTTTCAAGTGAGCCAAGAGCGTCCCGAGGGTTCTGGCTCTGTTCTGAGGCAGGTAGAAGAAAATGGGATTGACACACGCTGGGAGGCTGCCGAGCCATGCAGTTGGCGGCGTTGGAAAAAGTAACTTGGAAAAAGTAACTAAGCTCTCAAAACCTAGAGCAGCTCCTTCCTGGCTTAAACCAGCCTGGAGCACCTGCACGGCAGTGACATTAAAGGTGGGGGAGGAAATGAGTGGCATCAATCATAAGGAATGGGGAGAAAGGACCAATTGTCAACTGTGCTTATGGAAATAACCCTCAGATGTGTTAAAAGCAAGCAGTGCGTTAACGGTACCTGTATGCGAATCTCGTGTGCTGCTGCCACGCCCTGCACTTCACGGCCTGAACTATTTACGAGTTTCCCTCTCCCAAACCTGTCCCATGTTGCTGTTCCTGTAAATAATTTCGTGTAAAGCACGGAGCCGGTTTGAGGATCAGGCTTATTACAAAAGCCTGGCATCTAACGGTGTCAGCACCACCTACTTTGCACGAGCCAGCTGAAGTAAGCCCACTGGTCTGCTGGGGTGACAGCACGCTGCTAGCCTGGTTTGGGTGGCGTTCCTTCTGAGGACATGCTTGCCCGAATTAAAAAATCGTGATCGCACAGCCGTTCCTCGGCATGGGTGTGCGCTAGGATCGTGGTTGGGTCTCACCAAGGGTGCAGCTCTCTTTTTTTTTTTTTTGCTTTGAACATGAATAACTGTGTAGCAGCACACAGACCCACACAGGTGTGGATAGACGGGAAGGGGAAGGCAAAGGTAGCAGTCTGGAGGCTTGCTGAGATGCTGCTGGAAGGTGAGAGCAGCAGTAGTTACGACTTCCTGTCCGAGACACAATTTGACTGAAAGCATAGCACCTCCTGGTGTGTCGCAGACCACCGAGGTTTGTGCTACCACACCCCAATGAGCTCGGGATGGGGATCAGAGCTGCCTCTAACCCACATGGTACAGGACTTCTGAAAACGTAGCTGCAACATTCTTTTCTCTTAACAGTCCACAGACTCTTTTGGCTGGAATGAATAAGTTTTTATCTCAACTTGAAATCACTTTTAGAAGAGACCCCAACAATTACAGACCAAGAATAAACAAGCTCAATTCGATCAAGGTAAGAGAGAAGCACCTCTACTGAGAAGAAGCTATGACTCTTTAGTATTAAAGCCAGGTTTTAAAATAAGGAACAAAATGAAGACTAACCTGGTAGCATTGCTGTGCAGGGAAGCTGCACGAGGAAGGAGCAGCAAGAGTAACAAAGTGGAAAGGAGTTTAGCTAAGTACCTTTGATTCCAGCTCTGTTCAAGTCTGCCAAAGAACTGCTTTAAGTAACGCTGACCCTTTTTTCTCTTCCCAAGGATGTGGAACAAAAGAAGAGTGGAAACTACTTCTTCCTGGATGACTAAATATGAACCTGGGCATCTTTGTAACTGGCACAGAGAAATGCGTATCAGAATCTAAACACGTGGATGAGAAGGCTCAATCAGGTTTTAAAACACTTAATCTCGCGGCGCTTAACCTCTTGCTGCACATAACATCTAAGACCAGTAGCAGTGTAAATCCTAGTCTGAGTAAAACTGCCACTTTCTACATTTTGGTGACCCAGCCCTGTTTTCAGTGTAAGAATTTCAAAATAGATCACCTTGAAATTGTGCAAACGAGTCTCCCAATTTTTCAGAACGGAAGGGAGGTTTTCAGTTCGGTATGTCCTCCTTGGGTAACAAGTACTGACTGCACTTCCTTATTCAAAAGAGGGTCGAGGTGGTTTGCTGTGTGGGAGAGAAGCTTACCAAGGACATCAAGCTGCAGACCCAACTCCTGTTTTAAAAAGGTTGTATCTCTCTGGCTGAGGGTTTCACAAATAAATATCCTCCTAACGTACAGCTCTCCTGTGCTACCGTGCAAAAATTCTTGAATCGGTCACAAATGGGTACACAATGTTGTGCACGCCTCTTCTCGTACTGTAGAAAAGAACACACCGGGCATGGCAGTACAAACAGTAGTGGAGGTATCCACAGCTTTTTTTATGCATCTGTCCTGCCTTCAGCAGCATGTGAAAAGTGTTGAGAGAAAACAGTGCTTTATTTACGTTTTCCCCTCATAACTTGCAGGAGAAGGCAGTGGTTTATTTTTCCTTAAGCTGTTTAGTGTGTCAGTGACTTGGGTATCTTATACCCTTGGCAGGATCAGGCATTCTGTATGCTCTCTCGTTAGGTCTGGCTGGCGGGAAGTTGGCCTGTATTAAGCCAGCAGCTGGACTCCATGAAGTACCAGTACCCAAGGCAGCCTTACACCACCCCCACCCACTCTGTTTAGGCAAAAACTTTCAAAGTGACCAACACCTACATTTCTGTCACAGAGATGAGTACAGATCCCTTTGGGCTTGAGTTCTGCATCTTCTGTTAATCAGCCCTAATCAGGGTACTGCTGATCTCTGCAGCAGGAGATCTCCCTTCGTTGTATGTTACATGTACACAGTCCCCTGTGAGCCAGCGGGATCCTGCAGCCTGGAACCGCCCATCCCAGCTCAAGGGTTTGGCCAGTCAACGTACAAGTCTTCCAGCAAGAGAGGAAACCACACTTAATGAACAGCAAAGGTCCAGAAGTATTCTATCTGCACGCTTCAGTCCTTCCCAAACTGTCCTCAGGGAGCAAGGCAGGGCCTAGGCCCAGCTTCAATAGTCTTAAGTCAGTTTTTTAAAGTGAATTCTAAAAGCACTGCCCTCCAGGTTACAGCTGGGTCTGTTTTCCACTGTTCCCCAAGAAGTAGCTGTAGAAGCTGTGGAGAGCAGCAAAGCTCATGATTAAGTGCTCTCTCCAGTACTGCATGGTTGTTTCTCTGACTGCTGTGCAGATGTGGGTGACAGCTGCAGTTCCATTTTGGAACTTCCCCCAGGGAAGACAAGCAGCCATTTCCACATCTTCATCAGTAAGAGAGGACCACCGTGGTACCACCTCTTAAATCCCTCGGTGCTGGCTGAGTTCTCCACCCAACCACTGGAGAAGCTCAAACACCTTTCAGCACGGCCAAGCATTTAGATCGCAAACCCCACAGCGCCGGTCACTGCCACAACTCCAAGTCAGCAGCCGTAATTTGGAAAGGAAGTGGAAAGAGAAACACTTATTTTATTAGGGTTTTAATACAGGGCATGCGTCTGAAACGGAACTGTGTGTCACAGGACTATCACTCGGGGTTCCCGATCAAGGGCGTACGATCTCGGACCGGAAGGAGAGGGTGCCGTCACCTACACTGGTATATACAGAAATAGAAAAATATACACAGCAGTTCATTTCACAGAGCAACAGCCGGGTGGGTGCCGCGCGCACTGCGCTCCCCCAGTTCGGACAGCGGAACATCCAGACCGCAAAGGCAACAGGAACACTGCAGAGATCAGTAACCGGGGCAGAAGAAACAGCATCAGAACTCTGACACAGTGTAAAAGTAAGGCAGAAGCCACCTTCTTCTGAACTGTAGGGAAGAGCAAAGCACACCGAGTCCGTCTTGCTTTTCCAAGTAGTTCCAGCAAGGAACTGTACATGCAAAACACACATTTGCATCAACAGTGCAACAACAACAGAATACTGAACAGTAGCTCAATCATACAAACTTAAAAAAACGTAACATGTACTTTATGCATCTCTCCTCAGAAAATATCTAGGATTTGTCAGTGCATTAGTGTTAAAGTGGCGTTAAAAAAACTTCTGCTATTATAACAGATGCAGAATTATTTTGGAAATGCATAGCATCTACATTTTTATTGTCTTTGTAATTACTCGGTTGGCATAGGCACCATTCTAGTCACACCAGCATTCAGAATTCTTGGTGGAAACAGCCGTTCTTACCAATTCATAACAGCTATTCTCGACTGCTTGTCTTGATTTTGATTTCAACAAATAAATGCTTTTTAAAATTCAAAAATAGACCCTATGAATATGAAAAGAACTATATACAACACGCCTAAGACACAGGGTTGGCTGGCTGCCACCGCCTGTAACACACTGGAGAGAAACATTCAAGTCTGACAGATTCTTTTCTTGGTTGAGATGAAAGGCCTTTGGGTTGGAAGCATATCAAAGACAACAGTGCAGCAGGCTGAGAATTCCTTTAGCTCAGTTCAGAACTAAGGCATTGTATGATAAAATATACATCTGTATTTGGTGCAACGTTACCGTCAGTTGGAGAATCCAGATCACATCAGAGGCTAGAAATGTGTCACTGGTGAACGTGTACGTATCCATCATCTATCACAAACTCAAACCTTGGGGGTGTGGGGAGGGGGGAAACTTTATCAAACACTAAACCTACAGTGGTTTTCTCTAGTTTGACACTGAGGGAAAAACGCTAAGCCAAACCACCTCACTAGTCTCCAAAAAACCATCCGGTGGGAGTTCGCCTCCTCCTAGTCCTTACTCGCCAAAAGCTAAAACATACCCTTGAACTTAGCTAAAAAAGAGTAAAGATTTCAAACTGCTACTTCAAATGACTTCCTGCATTTTTAGGGTTTTGGTTACCCACTGACTCTATGCTTGATGCCCCCGCTGGTTCTCGCCCGGTGTTGCCCTTCTCCTGTCATTCCTGTATGGCCTCCCTCTGAAGTTCCGCTGATAGTGGTAGCCGTCGTCTCTGCTTCTGCTGGGTGGTCCCTTCCAGGCTTCCTCGCTTCTCTGGAAGTGGTATCCTCCCCTGCTGGAATAATCCCACTCAAGTCTAGGCCTTCTGCCTCCTCCATAAGTCTGGTTGTAAAACTGCTTGGATCCTCCGCTTCTCAGCATATCGGAAACATCGCTCTCGTCTTCAGAGCTCTCCTCCCTCGTCCTCTGCGCCCTGCTGTCTGCCTGCAGGTTACCAGCACCCCTGGCATCTCTGCCTTTATCAGTCTTCTCCCTGCGGCCGGGAACGCTATTTCTGAGTTCGTTTTTCGGAGGTTCTGCCAACAGCGGTGGCACGTTGGGTGCTGCCACCTGCCACTCGGTGCCCTGTGCTTGCGGGGAGCGATTGCGCGGCCCGGCTGCTTTTTGCTTAGCGGGGGAAGCCGAAGGGCAGGTTTGCTGCAACTGCGGTGCCCGAGCCAGAGCTGGTTTTGGGGCACTGCATTCGCTGCTGGCACCAGCCACAGGGAACGGTCCGGCCTTGGAGCCGCCGCCGCTGTGCGCCTTCTGAAGTTGTTCCGCCGAGGTCAGCCCCGGCACCGGAGGGCTGCATTCTTTCGGCACGTAGGCGCTGGCAGAGGTGCTGCCTGTTGCCTCTTTGTCCTCGGGTGACATGACAACACTGGGTCTCGCTACCGAACTGTCAACGAAACCCTGAACCGGGTACCCATACCAGAAGTGAGGAAAGAACGGAGGTGCGATCGGAACAGCTCCTACAAAGTGATTGTGCCCAAAGGGCGGCTGTGGGAACACGTTTTTTCCCCTCAGGGACTCCTCATAGTTGGCATGAAGAGCTGGCACAGGGTTCTCGGATTCCACACAGACCGGTCCCTGACTGTCTGAGACCTGAGCAGTGGGGAGCAGCAGAGACAGCGACGCAGATCGAGTCTCAGCCTGTGGAATCTGGCCGTTGGCTCTGGCCTCGCTCTGAACAGGGAAGTGCCGGTTTGTCCGTGCGGTTTCGTTCTCGTTTGGAGCTGGCAGAGCCTCCTGGAACCAGGGGTTGTGCAGGTACACAGGAAGGGATACGTTCGGGTACATCCTACAGGCAGCTAAGTAGGCCTGGTGCAGGGGGTACAGGTAAGAATGGGGTGCCCACATGGGACAGCTGTACGCCTGCAAGACAGGGGGGGTGGGGGGAAAACAGCATTTGGTCTTTTGAACCTGGAGACAGACGTAACGGCGCGCAGGTCCTTCACCGTCCTGCAACGGTGGGTCACAGAAGGAGAGGTCAGGTGATTCACAGTGACTACCATCAATTCTGAATAGCCAGGACGCCCAGACAGCGCCCTCAGATTTCTCTTTTCTTTCCAAGTGCAGTTGGAATGGGGCAACAGTTAAGACCAGTACGAAAACTTTGCCCGACAGAAGGCGTACGGGGATGTATAAAAGGAACATTTCTATGTGCAGAAGGGAGAAACTGAGCAAACAACTAGTCCTTGCCACAAAAACGACGCCTTTTTGGGTGAGCCTCTTCCCCAAGCGCGCACACCAGCCACCGCTGTAAGTGCTTAGTTACTTAAAGGTAAAACGCCGCTGCCTTAACATGAGCAGAAAGGACGGACACGCAGGTTACCCAGGGGAATGTCCGCAGGGAAAGCCACACCCAGGGGTCTGTACTGCGGCGGCTTTGCCAGTGCACAGACACGGTCAGAGCCGGAGGGGCTTTTCTCCCACCCCCCGCTTCCAAAAGAGCGCCGCCTCAAACTCTCCAGGGTGCCCGCGCAAGGCACCAGCTGCTGACCGCGCGGCCACGCTCGGAAGCCAACAGTTCTCAGGATCACTGTCGAGACAGAAGTTTGTTTCCGTTGAGCTGACCTGCCGCGTGGACCCCTGTGGGAACCTCTGTTAACAGCAGACAAACGAAGCGTTTCAAGTTCAGAGACGAACTTGAGGTGCACGGCTGCCGTAACCAAGCTGCTGCACTCCACACACTACCCAACGCAAACACGTTTTACGGCACAAACACAGAAACATAAGTTTGAAGAGTTACCTTCACACCAAGATTGAAGAAGAATCTAAGAATATTCTTATCTAGGGGGGGAAAAAAAAAATATCTATAAACACCTAAAATAATTACACTTCATCTGACCCCAAAATGAGTCCCTCCACAGAGTTCCCTATCAGGAGGGAAACACTGGTACTAGGCTGCTGTTTGCAGGTCTGTGGTTGGTGTGGGGGTGGTCATTCGGGGGGTTTTTGCCACCGAGCTACCTCCAGAACACAAGTGCAGTTTAAGCTTCAGATTTAACAGTTTGTGGAACCCAATTTCCAGTTTCTAAAGCAGCGGTTCCGCAGGCAAACACCAGTGTGCGGTCAGACACGGTATGTTCTTTAGGGGCACCTTCCCTACCTGCAGTATGCCAGAGCAGTACGTAAACGCTCCACAGCTTCCAAGCTTTTGGTTAACAAGAGAAACCCCGTTACTGTAAAAGGAAGCAGTTCTCCAAAAGGAACTCCTTTTTATTCACAAAAGCTCAAGTTAGGGTGGGTCGAGCTAAGAACCACAGAGTGATCACAGCCGACTTCCAGGACTAACCGCTTCAAATAATCCAAACGTCAGCAACACCAGCTGAAGACTCCCGACCCTCTTCAGTATCCCCTCCCAGCCTTACATCATGACGCTACAACGAGATCTTTTGGCACAGACTAACAGCCGGACTAAAGAAGTTGTCTTTACCTACATTTTAAGAAAAGAAAATCCAGTAGGAAAAATGGGATCAATTCCAGACCCCCTCCTAGTTTCTCACCTTTAGGCAAGTCTTCCCCAGTATTGCACAGTGAGTAAGAGGGTGCAACGGCTCTTTCTCCCTTTTCACTAAGAGGGAATCCAGGGTACAGCGGATCCTGGTAAGGATTCAGAGTCTGAGGCAAAGGCATTAAAGGCTGGTTAACTGCTTGTAGCGACAGAGGAACTCCAGCAACTGGAGCAGATGTTACCTGAGCCTGCGATACAAGAGAATCAGGTCCCATTGCTGGGGCTGGCATCAGTGAAGAAGCAGGTATTTGGGCTGGAATACCTAGAGGAAGGAGTGAAATAAAAAACCCATGAAAATATACATATGCACACACACACCCCCCAAGGAAACTGATAGCAGGAAAGCAAGTTTCCAAAGAGAGAAGAAGAAAGGTATTCAAGAAGGCACAGGAGGAAGTTCTTGAGTTGGGAAGTTACAAATAAAAGAAGAGTTGACTAAATGCAGAGCAGAGTTTCCAGAAACAGCAAAACCCTTGCAGTATTTATTAAGTTATGAACACCAGAAGGAAACAGGCAAGGAAAAAAGGGGGGGAAGTGCACCTAACATGCACGTCTCTGCAGCTCTCATTCGGACCAGGCACGGTCAGCGCTGCATCTGAGCTCACACTAACTGGGCTGTGCATCTCCCGTCACAGACGCAGCCAAGTGCGACAGGGTTGTATGTGAACACGGTAGCCGATTCGAAAGCCAGCTCCCGTACATCAGCACAGCAGTGGGAGGGGGAATGCAGCTCCCGATCTAACGGGCAGCACTGCATCTAAGCTAATTCCGCCTACCAGAAGATCCGGGCAGCACAGAAAAGCCGTGACAGTGGCCCTGCAGCTCAGGTCCGAATGGATCTCACTACTTCCAGACGTACCAAAGCCAAGCTCAGCGAATCAAGGAGCTTATTATGCGGGGGACAGAACTGACAACGTGTTCTACCTTAAGCAGATCATCAGAACAAGCCCCCTCAGAACTCAATGCTATCCCACTCTGGAGAAAAAGGAGAACTGAGTATGCACCCCGCTTCCACCTTCAGGGAATGCAGCAAACTACACATATCAAAGATCTGCTAGATCTACTACAACCCCCACTAGCTTTCAGCAGTTTCAGATACTGCGTTCACGTAAATTGCTGCCTTTGGAATGTGAAGTTTCGTGAAACGGTGTCTCCTGGAGGCATCTTCCATTTAAGAAGACAGCTACAGTGCTTGTCAGGGTTAGCAGTTTCCAATCTACGGTAGCATTTCTTCAAACCTGCTGGTCCATAGGTTGTTGGCTCACTTGGCCAAGCTGGCACAATGGCTGGTACGGAAGGCACTGCTGGAGGTAAATGCACCTCAGGAAAGACTGGCGAGGGTGTTGGAGTTACGCTCGGTAAGCATTCTGCCAGGTTCTGTAACAACAAGGAGATCACATCAAAGTATCCTAAACCACCACGGCTGGTCACCCCTAATGTGTCTGACTTCTAGCAGAAGAGGCCCGATGCCTCAGTGTTATCCCGACTGCCACCGTCACCACGGCACAACATTAACTCGTAACGTCTCGGGCTGCACACGTCAGGGATGGGAGACAGAGCACAGCACGGCGTGAACAGCTCCGCACCGAGCTCTATGCAGAACGTGCCTGTAGCACAGGCTGCCAGCAGTGTGACAGCCACCTCCACAAGCATTACGTGGAAGTACCTCCCATCCAAGAGAAAAACTACCCTCACAAACAATTACCCGTAACCTTGGAGAAACATGAAAGAAGTAAAGAATTTAAAGTGAAAAGTAGGGTTATCTTAGCAGGGAGATATGGAATAACCCCTCTCTCCAAAGAGAGAGGCTGTGCTTTTACTTTTCTGCCAGGGGCGGTCCTCTTACATCCTTTACGTTGGACATAACTGATTCCTAACTGTAAACAGGAAGTTTTAGCATTATCACGACAGAAAAGGCTACGTAATGAAAAGCCAGTATTCTAATACATACATGGCTGTGACGAAGCTCCCCTTTGCCTGAAGTCTCCTGACTAGAAAACTTTGAAATCAAACAAACATGTCTTACTTGCTCAGCAAGAACTGGAGAATCTGTTTTCACTTGTTCCAAAGGAGGCGAAGCTTTTGGGTAACTCTCATCTTGACTCTTCTTCTAAAGCAAAGTCAGAAACAACAGGCACGGCTTGTCTAACAGCGAGATTTACTTTTCCAAGAGGCATTCAGAGATACCAGACCGCACCTCGCACGCAGCGGGATAACCACCCCGTCACTATTCTACGAGCGTAACAGTTTGCTGACTGAAAGGACAGCGGGGGTTAAAAGCCCACGAGAGGCCACGAATCTTCGCTGGACTTGAGAGATCACGGTCTGTTAGCACAGTAGCTCTCAGTAAGCATTGAATCCCCTGCAGTCCCGTTACAGTGAGAGCACAGACCGAACTAAGCAATTACAAATCCAGATTTGTACGTGCTCCCGAAAGCCCAGATTTGAGAACGCAGACGGCAGAGAAAGACTGCAAGTGTGGGTTACAGGGGCTGAGGAAAGCCGACAGCAACACAAGCCTCCAACCTCACAAGTATTGCACCAAAAGCCGCAGAGCAGCAATCGCAGCTTTAAAGCAGCTATTGCTCTGCTCATCATGTATCAGAGAAGCAGTAACATTAAAAAAAGAAAATTTGGTCTTTTCTTTAAGATTACCTCAGATGAATTTGGCTCAAGCTTCTGACTTAAGTGGGTCTGCCTGGAATTTGACTCTGTAACACCAAGACATAACCTAGTAAATGAACCATCAAACCATTTATGGCTATCACAACTTAAGCCAGTTAAAGTTTCTCTTTCCAAAGTTAAACCTTCTAAACAAAACCTACCTGAGCACATATTACTTCAGAAAACTTAAACTTCAATTTTTATCACAGATCAAAGCATCTACAATGAACAGTTGTTAGGGCAGCAACACAGCAGCTACTTCAACCCAGGTTTTCAAAGCTCTACAGGAGTTCTTTACCGACGTTTGTCAACCCTTAACATGACGCTCAATGGAAGAAGGAAAGACATGTGGCTGTCCCTTTAACCACACACCATTCATCCTAAATCCCTCCTAGTGAAAAAGAAATAAGCTTGTACTTTAAGTAAAGCAAAAACATTTCCATCTGTGTTTCCATACTGAGGCGTTAAAGGCACCAGGAGCTTCAAGTGGAGACTTTTGACCAAGTACAGAACAGATCGGCTTAGAAGGTTTCAATGGCTCAAAAGTTCTCAGACTGATGCAGAAAGTTTAATTTCCCAAGCACCAGCAAACACCTGGTGGGGGAGACAGTGTTGAAATACAGTCATGGCATCATCCCCAGAGGGTAAGATCTGTCCAAGTTCTTCATGTTCTAGCTTATGTTCAAGGCCGGGTACCACTGCTTGTCAATCCAGTTCATGCTCCTAAGTTTAACAGTAGCCACTAACCAGACACAGGAGCTTTTTAAAAGCTTGGTATGTGCACCATCACAACTGGACAACAACGTAAATTAAAACAATAGTGATGATGAGAATTACTGCCAATTCCCAAAACACCAACAGGCATCTACAAGCACCCTGAAGGAAGTACAGTTCATTCCCACAGGATTTTTCACCTCATGTCAGAAGAGGCAACACAATGCAGAGCGTCACAAAAACCAGAGAAGGCTGTACAGGCCACGCGCTGCAACATCTATCCTGAACCTGTAGTGAAGAGCTTTCTCTACATAAACATGCTCTTTGGCATTGCTGATGAAACAAGTTCTCAAACAAAACCAGTTTTCAGATGTTTGGAGAATTAAAAAAAAAAAAAAAAAAAGGCGTGAGGCCGTTGAAGAAGGCATTCCGTGTTGCGAGAGGGACCAAGGAGCACAAGCACCATAAATACACAGCAGCAATGATCTGCTGTTGCCAGAGGTAAGGGAACAAAAAACAGTCCAAAAATAATTTAAAAAAAAAAAAAGGGAGGGAAGGAACAGCTTCTAAGAGGAGGCTAAAGAGTTTTAATTTAATTTAGTCAGGTAGGAAAAAAATACGTAGGAGCAGCGAAGATCAAGTTTGGTGTTTAGTTATGGCAAAGCCGACAGGACAAAAACTAAATTAAAAAAATACTACTCTCGGTTGCATTTAGCAGAGATTAACTGAATGCCTCTTGACCGCTCCGGTTTTTGTCTGACTGCCACGTTCCACTTCCGCACAGAAGAGGAAGAGCCTGGAGTCAATGAAGAGAAGCTGAGGAGTGTTGTAACAGACTGCGGGGAGGGAGAAAACCCAAACACATTTTGAGCATGTGACAGCTCTTCCTACTGGAAAGGGGGGGAGGGTTCAACCCTTCCGTAAACCACCTTCTCCCCTCTTTCTGTGCCACTGGATGGCAGTTCTTGACCATGCCACATGGAATACTTCTATCTGCTTTTCCCTTAAGGGACTGCAGTAAGCACTCTCAGTACTCCTCCCACTGGCACCTTCTGCCACACTCACTAGCATTTCACCAGCATCTGATTTCAGGTAGCTCGGACAGTCTTCTCATTCCTCTCCTTCCTCTTCCCTTTTGCTACAGATATCCCAGCAAGGCGCCTGCTCTCGGCCACATTCACAATGCAGGAAAACGTGTACTTTCTTCCCAAGCCACACCTTCGCTACCTGGAGCCTAGCTGAGGCACTATTACTTAGGATCACTTTCCCCTCATTGCCTAACCAAGTGCCCCATCTTGAATACATTCTGAGCCTGGCAATAAAACCAAACCAAAAGCCTTAATCTAACCCCATTTATTTTTACCTTTATCCTTCTGCTCTTCCACCTCTGCTGTCCACTTGCTGTTCCTTCTCTCATTATTTGAGAACTTCTTCTGGTTTAAGTTATCCAGAGTCTGCGTAGCAGCCTGACAGGCTGACTGGTTCTAAAGAAGTTCGCAAAAGCAGAAATACAAGTTTATGTAAGAATTCTGATGACACTTCGCCATCACCCGATATGACACTATTATGCCTTCATGACACACAACTCTCTTTCCTGAGATCGGCAGAAAGGTGGGGTGGGGTAAAGCAGTCTTTATCGGCATTGTTCAGATTCATCCATTCCTTCATTCATTGCTAGATTTTGTCAGTGTCCTTTAAAAGGTTGTTCGTTTGCATGACACAAACTGCTTCACAGACAATATCCACTTTAAATGCCACTTCCCCCCACAGGCGAGCACTGCAGCATCTTGTTAACCACAGCTCAGAGGCACTCTTCACAGCACAGGACAGCTGTACGTTTCTTATTGATGTAATCAAGTAAATGTTGATGTAATTGAGAACTACTGCTCAAGAACTGACAGATCCCACACAGGAAGTCTCTTCCACAAAGCAAGAGACATAAGGCCCATCTTTTACCTACTCGTTCTTTCCCAGCCTAGTTCGTGTGTCTGTTTGCCCCAGGATATAAATCCAAAGAGCCCCACACGTAGGCAGCAGCTCTAGCGCCCGCAGGATCTGCTCGCTCCCTCATGTACTGAGACTCCAATCCACCTTCTTTTAAAATTGCATCAACAGAATAATCTCTCAAAACCTAAAGGCTGCTTCTTCCCTCAGACGTGGACACGTGCGCTGAAGCCAGCTCAGTGCCACGTCTGACAAGGAATTCGCATTCCTGATGACACCAGGCAAGTTCTCACACCAGTAAGTTCTCAGGCTAAATAGAAAAGTTGCTTGTAAGTGAACTTTTAAGTATGTGTAACGGAATGCAAGGCCTTCCAAAAGCAGGGGGAACACACATCAAGAAGCCCACGGCCTCAGAAGCTCACACCTACCGTATTTACATGCCTGAAGAACTGTGTGTGAGCAACATTAATTATTCCAAGGGAAACTACCACGTATAGGCCCTCTCTTGAATACATAAAGCACTGTACATACTTCTGTGTAGAAAGTGAGCGTGAAGAAAATACCCTTAACTTTCCAGTTGTACTGTAACGCACGGACAGCAAAACAATTGCTAATTAAAGGTTCACGGGGGAGGATGAAAAACGCACTCTTAATTGCAATGACAAAGGCATACGTTGGAAAGGGCAGGAAATGCTTGTTCATCCCTCTGCTGGATCTCGTAAAGCGAACGAGATTCTTCTATAGCCTGTTTCTCCCTGCGTTCCTCTGGAGACAGGCCGAAGTAGTTACAATCTCTGCTGCCATGGGTCAGATCCTCAGTTCTCTCCCGGTCTGGTTTTCTGTAAAGGGAAAAATGTAACAGGATCACTGACACAGAAATTCACCGGTATGGAACACAATACAAACTTCTGGTTGAGAAGGAAGAAAGAAGATAATTATATAGCGCTGGTAGTGTGATTCCACATACACCTGATCCCCTTCTGCCTACTGCATGCCACCCATACGCATAACATTCAAGGAAGGGAAAGAACGGATTGTGTCCATTCAGTTCAATACAGTTTTGAAAGACTAACAAACGGTGGTTTTTTAACTGTGATCCAATAGCTAAAACCTCCATCAAGTGATCTAAACCTACTTCTGTGCCAAACTAGAGCTGACCAACCCCCACCTGCTACCCATGAACATGCAAGCAAAAGTTCCCCTAAATACAACAACCAAAGGGAAAACGCATTATCATTTCCAGCATCGGAAGCATCACTGCCCAAAATCAACATCCCTCTTCCAACTTTCTTACCGAACTAAACACTTTGGGATACTCATGCAGGTAGGTGAAAGGTGGAAGAAAAACGCCCTTAAGATGTTGCACGTGGCAGGCGCTAAAGACACCGCAGCCCCATCTGTTCCACGAGGGGTTAACGACACAGACCACAGAACAGACCGTGAAAAGTTCTGGTTTGCAGCCAGTTAGAGAGTAGCCTCTTAGACAGCCGAGAAGAGCGGCGGTGACGCAAACAGGAACTGCTGCAGCAGCACGATGACTCAAACGTTCACTACCAACACATGCAGGCAAAACGCTGCTCCCGAAAGCGGCCCGGGGTGGCAGGTTCTGCGGAGGTCAAGGGACGATCTCGGCCGTGCCCCCGTGCTACACGCAACAGCACCTCAGCCTCAACCAGAAAAACACCAACCCAACAGCCACTCTCCAAGAAGAGACTGCGGTTTTGCGTACGGTGCTTCCAGAGGAGATGCTGCCATGCAGGACAAAGTGGGAGTCCATGACGGCAGCAATATTTAAAAAGGTTTAAAAATGAACAAACAGAAAAGAATTGTTTTTCCTGTGCCTGTGCGTACTCTCGAGGACTTGGAACACTTCTGAACAATTCTATGGCAACAGATTTCCAACGAGCATGTGGAACAGGCACACGGCCTCCAAGACGAGGCAGAGGTTACCTGCGGTTTTACCTTACAGTTTGGGCAGGATTCCTGCCTGGAGCTTTTTGCTCAGTTGAGGTCTGATGAGGCTGGGGTCCAGAGCACGAGAACTGATGCTGCCTGGTTCCCACAGTATGCTGAAGTCGAGGAGGTAGAGCTGACTGGGGTTTTATCGACTTGCTCTGACTCTTCGGCCCTCTGCAGTCGGCATCTGTGACAAAGACGCGAGAACAGACACACCTTGCTGGCACACAGTTTAAGCTCTTTGGACAGAGCACCTGAGAATAAAGATTCTGCCACACAAAGACAGGTACAATCCTACCGGGCTGAGCATTCTGCCCCCACGTTGGGAAAAACTTTTTTATCTTCTTCCCTGGCACAGTGTTCCAGCCCTCCATAGGAGAGGCCTGTGGAAGAGGTTTAAGGCTCTTCAGTGAGACGGCATGCCTACAAAACAAGGAATTATGGAGGGAGAAATATCTTTAGAGACCAGACTGGGACTTGCAGACGTCAACAGCACATGTTTACTGATAGAACGCAATGCTTTCAAAATCTGAAAGATCCAAGTCCTTTGTTCTTTACGATTACACTTGGGCAATGCGTAGAACCACCACCCTTTTTGGTTTTCCTTTTTAAACAAAACTCTGGTAAGTTGATGCCAGTAAAGAATGATTTGTGAGTATTAAAACATCTTTAGGGCAGACAGAAAAGGAGAATGACCATAAAAAGCAACATACTCAGATCAACTTAATCACAAACATTGCAATAGATGTCAAGATTGAAAACCGACATATTCGAGGTTTACACCCCAGAGCAATCACTGCGTTTTTAATTGGTGGTGCTGTAGGATGCCCAAGTAACGGTTTACATTATTTGAAAGACAGACATTCAAATATATAGGCAGTTCAAATCTCAATTTAAAAAGGAAACAAAGTGCCAGACATTCTTCAGGTCTACGTCTTTTTTTTAGCAGAAGGGGATCGTATGATACGAACCGGCATCTTTGCCCTCCCCTCAGTAACCTTTACTGAAAGTGCTCCCTTTTCTTTCCTTTTCCCAGAATACACTCTCAGCTGTGGGTTGTTTTGGTTTTGGGTTTTTTTTTCCCCCAGAAGAGTTACAGAACTTACAGCAAAGCTCAGGATGGTGTCTCAAACCCCAAAACACACACCAACCCCCCCCCCCAACCAAAAGCACCACCACTGACCCCCTAGAGAAAGTGATGCTGATCTAAACAGCAACTTGGCCCTCTGAGAGCAGGTGCTTTCACGCACCCATTCATACAAAAAGCTTGTCACAATTCTAGAGCCTAATTACTAAGCACAAGCAGCAACACTTAATTAGGCTGGTGTCAATCTCTTCAGGATTATTTTAGGCGGAAAAAAAGCTACAATTCTAATACTGATGTGGTTACTGTTTTACTCTGCGAGTAACACCCAGATGACTCGGCCCTGAAACCTGACATGACAATCAATGCAGAACGCCTTTTTCTTCTGTAACTTAGTATGTTGTTTTCCTAACAATTCTGTGGCAGTACTGCTCCACGTGAAGAAGCGGATATGCTTCAAGGGCCGAAGTGAACCCTGGACTACAGGAACGCTGCCATTACCAATTCAGCCATCTTTTCCAAAAGGAGATCAAGCACTTACTTTGCTCCCAGCTCTTCTACAAATACAACAACTGGCCCATTCTCTGAACAAACTTCTTGAATGTGGGCATTATAAAATTTCCCATTATGGTCTAAGCGCACCTATAGGGAGAAAGAATAAGGGGGAGGGAGAAAAAAAAAAAAGGTGCATTAGCTTCAAAGACGACAATGAGTGGACCTAACTCTTCAGAATATCGGCAATCTTAAGAAGAGATCTTTTCCTCTGGGCAACAGAAGACCTGAGAAATAGACATCACTTAGTTCAATAAATGTCTCAAAGCCAAATGATCGATCCGTATCACTCCTTCAAAACGAAATAAAAGTATGGTTAAAACCCCACAAACACAGAAAGCTTGCTCCCTAACGAAACATGGCTTTCTAAACTACACGGGAAAGGCAAGACTCATCACTCTATCAAACCTTTTCAGCTTTACTGAAAACATTCTCTCTTAGAATAAAACCACAAGGTTTTCCTTGTTAAAATCCATGTAAAAAAAAAAAATTCACTGATTGTAGCAGAATTTAGTTAAATTAAGAGCACAGTGAACCCCAATCATTTATGAAGTTATTCTTCAGAGTGGTTTTTAAAACAACCAAAACTGGGCTGTCTGACACCGCCTGTTCTTATGGTTCTTCTGTTAAGCATAAAACACACTTCCTAACGTTCTGCTACATCTGGCTTTCCAGCTGTACTCATCTTTTCCTCATTTACTTCATCCTCCCTTCCCATGTTTTTATCCCACGTGTCTACTGCCTTGCCACATATGAATAAACTTTGGCAGAGAGATCACGTCAGTGACCAGCGCTTTTTCTACTAATAATATCCGTACCCTTTAGTAAACGCTGCACAAGACAGCCTTAGAGTCTCAAATACACATTTTAAGCCTCTGCTACTAAGAAACAAATAATCAACTCCACATTAGGTTTTTTATTTGGTTTGGGGGGTTTGTGGTTTGCTTTGGTTTGGGTTTTTTGTGGGTTTGGTTTTGTTTTGGGTTTTTTTTGTTTGTTTGGGGTTTTTTTTAAGTTTAGAGATGTGGTTTTTTCCTGCAATTTATCCACTATGCTTCATTCCATTCCACAGATTAAAAAAAATACAAACTGAAAGAGCCCCCATGCTGCATAATAAGCCTAATTAATATGTTCATATCAGTATTAGCCATTTTAACAGGTGGCCAAATGTCCCAAAAGAACCGTATTTATCCCAGTACCACCAGTTTAGGTAACACACCTAAGGACATTAATCTGACCACTACAGAATTTATTGGCAAACCTTATTGCTGCTTAAGCAGCAACACATACTACTAATTTTAATAGAATTTCAAGAGCAATTGTGTAACACCCTTGGAATACTTCAAGCAGAAGAACTGCCCAGCACTTCAGGGTCTGCAGGAAGGGAAGCGAGCTGTATTCCATTACTCAAAAGCGATGCAGTCAGAACAAAGCCAGATTACAAACAGCAGTCACTCTCTCCAGAGCTGAACAGAAATATCTGGAACTACCGTATCGGGTTTGGTCTCCCCAAAGAAAAGCCTCTATGACAGGAAACGCTAAACTTGCCTTCTTGATCTTGTATGGACGCACGGGAGTAACCAGCCAGCTTACAGAGCCCACCGAGAGAACAGAGCTTAGCCTGGACCAGGTGAACTGCCCTACATGCACCTACTCCTCGCACGGGGGCTAGCGCTCTACAACATCGAGCAAGGACTCGCCGCGGAAGCGAGCCCGCACAAACCTATTTGCATACTTAACGTTAAGGTCCACAGCCGCCTTATTAAATATACTCTTGACGTTAACCTTGTGACTTCTTAATGCAGTAAAACTGCACTGATCAGATGTTACAGAACACACCTTTTCCACACGTATGCTGTGGGGACAAACATGGCCAACAATCAAGTAACGAGCATGCGTGCGGTTGAAGGCACAAGCGAAGAGTATTTAGGAAATAGAAATCATATCTCAAAGTAGTTAATGATGGGCACCCCAAGCCAAACATCAGTGTGTCTATAAACTGTAATTCCACACTACTTACTTTACATTTATCTCCAACGGAATATTGCATGCCAGCAGCAATAGAGAAATCTTGTTTTTGCTGATCTGTAAATACATTAGCAGTAATATTCTGTTAGTTTAAACACACCAAAAAAGTTGCTTTCTTATATGCAGCGAAACAGCAAACGAGAAGTTGAGGCCCTAAATCTGCACGCTGTCCCCTGTGAGGAAGGCCACTGCCTAAACCCAAACTGCCATCTGCACCACTGTTCTTCAAGAGGGCTTCACTTTACACATCAGTGTGCAAAAGGTGGAACTTTTAAGGATTTGGTTACTTACCCCATTTGGATTGGAGCCAAACATCATATTCAACATTTCTGTAAACTGATGGATTGAGCGATTTAAGAACTTTTTTAGGTAAGACCAACAAGGTAGGATTCCCATTGCTCTTAAGGTGCTGTATCAAACAGAACAAAGTGCTAAATGGTCAACTGCATAATGATGCACAGCTTTCCATCTTTCAATAACAGTGATCAAGCTTTCAATTGCAATATAAAGAAGCTGAAAATACATAAAGCATCAAGACCTTTGGACAAATAAGTAGATGGTGTTCTTTTAACCATACCAGAACAAAATTAAGAACTAAGCAGCATTAACAAGGACACTATCCATCTTTTGGCTCATCAAAAGCAAACATTACTTTCCACTTTCCAAAGAAATATGTAGTTTTTATGATATTTCATGTTAGGAAAACTAGAAGCTCAAGATTCTCTCGTGAACATTAAACACCGTAAAATATAGCAGAGTACAAAGTATTAAGAAGAAAATAAATCAACATATAAATACCTTGGTGCCAGAAAGAGATTTCAATCCATTCGTATCACCGACTGTTGTAGCTTTACTTCTGCAAAAGAACAGACACGAGCTGTGGTAATACAGTATTAATAAGGCCTGGAAAACAGGTAAGAAACATCTTGGAAGCAAATAAAATACTGAAACTACCACGCTCTGCATACTTGTCCACAATAAGCAGACCACAGAACATCTTACCTTCACCTCTTACCATGAAAAAGCTAAGTCTAAAACAAGAACTACATTTCTATGTCATATAAAGCTGAAAATAAGATTTTTTGTTTCTAAGTACAAGTTTTAAGAAGTCTAACTTCTGTGTATGACTTGGGCATCTCAGGGAAAAAAAAAAAAAAAACAAACAACAAACAAAAACAGGGGGCAGGCAAGGGAAACAAAAATTCCTAAAATGTTTGCAACTACCCAAGGAAAGCACAGCAAAAGCTGACCCAAAAAAAAAAAAAAAACCACACCACCAGAACTCTAACCCAAGAACGCTGCATTAGTTAACTGGCATCAAGCACTGTAATTTATTCATATTTTCTACACCTGAGTGCTGGAAAATTACTTTCCAGAGGAAAAACACTGTCAGCTTTAACCTCTCCCAAAACCTAAGTAAAACTATTACATTTAATAACAACATAACTGAAAAGCTCACATTTATAAAATTAAGAAGATCTTCTGGAAAACTAGGTGATGAAACAAGCTCAAGTCAACTTTAAGACAAGCAAAAAAATGTAAGACTTTATAAACGCTGCAAAATGTTTGTAATTTGGGTTAAGTAGGTCAGGAGTCACACGCACTAGCTCTTTCGTCATGGGACATACGGTTTAAATCAAACACCAAGTTTGACAGTCTCACATGAGTGTGTGGCCTTCACTTACAAAGGTGCTATGGAGGTTAGCAGCGTATTTTCCTAGGAATCCCAGAGATACAGAGTAATGCTACTGCATGTGAAGCCCAGGAAAGCTCCAAGAACAGAAAGGAATAGAGAAAGTTTCCACACCCTGACATTTAACTACAATAATTGTTCCCCAAGGCAGAAATATTTTGTATTTTAATTGGAAATGTTCCCTAGTGGTTTTTTTTTTATTTTTCCTCCAAACAAGAAAGGAAGCTAATCCCTTTCCCAGAACTTGGTTTTCTTTTTCTGTGGCCATTTCCATCGTCCTCCTTTCTGTTGTTCTCAGCTTGAGGGAAAAAAGAGAAACCAGCTCTCAACATCTCAAATAATTTCTTCTGCCACATGTCACAGACTAAAGCAGAGCCC